CTAGGATGCAGGGTGGATGGGACAGGCAAGGCCAGAATCAGGTAAAGAGGGAGGTGGCACTTGACCCAGCTCTGCTTCATTCCTGTCCCTAGGATCCTTTCTATTCTACACTCACATACTCACACAGTAACATCTTGTTCAGTGAGTAACAGTCTTTGGGTCTCAAAGAGGAAATAGTGACTTCCATGTGATAGCAAGTGATGCTGCTTTGAGATCCTAGTTTGTGAATGAATAATGAACGTGTGCTTACCCAGTACAGGGAGTTTCACAAGATAAAGCCACTAAGACCTAATTAGTTTCTAACCAAGTGCCCTGGATACTCCTTTTTTTATTATGGAACAAGGAGAACTTGATTATGTATCATGGAATTATACAGATAACTTTTCTACTGTAGTATGGAAAAATGGTTCACTATTTTTCATTTGATTTTAAGCAATGTCACTGTTGACTAATATACATTAATATTTTTAAGTCTTAGGAGATTTTTATAAAATACAATTTTCAAAGTTTTGCCTTTTCCTTAATACATTTCCTGTTTTCACAGTCAATGAAAATTCCAGAACACTTCAAGAAGGCATTGTTCCATTTATGGCTATCTGGCCTGAGTGCTCCCACTTTTGCCCCAATGAAAATTCCTGCCTTTGAAGGCTGCCTTTTGTGTCCAGCCCCATTAACATAAACTCCCTTTGGAAAGTTAACATTTTAACCAAACATAGGGCAGAACTCACTGCTACCTTTGCAGGATTTATTGGGGAACACATCCCTTAGAAGTGCATTGTTTAGAGGTTCATTTCCAAACGCTCACCTGGAACAGCGTGTTTGGCCCTTGCAGCCGGGCAGGACTCAGTGGAGCAACTGGACTGAGGCTGCTCCAGAAATGTATGCTGGATAGCAGTGGACTCGGGGTCAGGAGCAATCCATTTGGTGTCTGAGAAAGCAAGCACACAGACAGTTTTAGAAATTGGTATCACCTGACTTCCAGCAGGGTGGCTAGGTGCACCAGCCACGAGCCAAGAAGCAAGCCTCCCTACCTTAGGGAAATGTGGCAGTTATTTCCGCACGGCTACACACAGATTAATTTTAATTTTCTTTAATGCTAATTGTATTAGCAACTTTTAAGGCATGAACAANGTTATTTCCGCACGGCTACACACAGATTAATTTTCTTTAATGCTAATTGTATTAGCAACTTTTAAGGCATGAACAAGTTACTTTCCCTTAAAAATTCTAGTGGAAAACTCAAGTTTGTAGCAATTTTTGTCCTTGTTTCTTCAATTTGCACCCCACCTTCCATTAAACAAGATTTCATGTGTAATAAAACAGGATCCCATTAAGGGGCTTTATTTGTTCTTAGTTTTCTATAGTAGACATCCATTGGGTTACAAACACAAAAATATATGTTATTTTTTAAAAAACATTGATTTCAGAGAGAGGAAGGAAGAGGGAGAAAGAAATAGAAACATGAGTGATGAGAGTCATTGCTTGACTGCCTCCTGCACGCCCCCCACTGGGAATCGAGCCCGCAACCCAGGCATGTGCCCTGACCAGGAATCGAACCACCATCTCCTGGATCCTAGGCTGACACTGAACCGCTGAGCCATGCTGGGCCAGGCAAACACAAATATTTTTAAAAGGGCCTCCCAAGCTTCATTTTCCTTATCAATGACCCTTTGATACTTTAGGACTTGCTACTAAAATACCCTGTAGCGCCTTCTTCAGAAACTCTGAACTGGGTTTTCCAGATTTCACTCCGGATGTGGGACTGATGAGAATTTGTCTCCCTGGCAATGGTTTGAAGGGGGGGAAAAATCCTTTCTTGTCAGATTGGGTGTCAAGCCAAGACTCTGGGTTTCCCGGGAGAGTGCCAAGGGCTGGGTTTGCTTGCACACACTCAGCAGGAGTCCTGCCTGCCAGCCAGCTAGAGGGCAGGGAAACAGCCCGCCCAGCTGGCAAGTCTGCCAGGCTTTTATTCTCTGCGAAGGCAAACTCCCTTGCCCAGGGTGGTTTTGCACCTTGGGTGACTAGAGGAGCTCCTCCGCGGTTTTGTGGTGTCAGTAGGTGCTTTGTGTAAGAGGAACCACAGCAAAGGCAGCTGTAGTTCAGATTGCATCATGCTGGATGCTCAAGTGTTATTTTTTCCTAGAACTGGCCTGAGCAGCTTTGTTAATTATCAAGAACACTTGGCTTAAACCAAAGTTGCAAGTTCTCTGCTCAGTGGACTGGAGACAGACTCATCCCAAGGTCCTCAAACTGAAGCTGCTGAAAGGTAATTTATACCAAACTATTTGAGTTTTTGGTTCCATGGCACTTCCTACATATTGAATGACCTATAAGGTTACTAGGATAAATTCCTGTTTCGGATAAGCTTCCCCTTTGTTCTAATCCAGGGCAATTTCACAAGTGTGCCAGGCCATCTGGCCTCACGGTTAAGACCTAACTGGCTCAGCATGGGCTCTGCCAGGGCTCCCACCTCAAAACCACCACTCATTAGGTAGGTAACTGCTCTACGCCTCAGTTTCCTACTCTTTAAAGTAGGGAGGAAAAATGTCTGCACTACAGGATTGCTGGGAAGATTAAAGTTCTTAATATGACCTGGCACAGCAAGACTGTTATTAGTAATTAGAGTCTACCTGACACACTTAACTAAATGTATTTCACCTATTCATGGGAGAAACTCTCAACTGTCTATAGAGAAGTACTGAATGTTCTGCAACAGACAAGCCCATCTTGTCAGCTGGTACCAGTCGACAGGCTCAGGTGACCTGAGAACTAATGTTTGCATGTCACTCTGGAGCCAGGTCCGACCACAGTCTGCCACATTAACATTTAATAACTGCATGTTTACAGCTGCCTCGTTTACCCACCAATGACGATCTCAAAGCTCTAAAGAGACAAGGAGTCTTCTAAACTACAAAATCTAGCTACCTTTCATCCATGGCCATAAATATATATAATCCTTTGAGCTATATGCAAAGTGTAGCATTTATATTTTCATAGTCTAAAATTTGTACCTATGTCTTATTTGAGATGCACATATGTTTTTCTGAGGGATTCAGGATGTATTCAGAATACAGTAGCCCTCTGTTCTCCATGCTTAATGTTTGAAATGCCTTTCATAATATATGCAAATAAATATTGTGAAATGACTTCAATCCACTCCTCTCCCAGCTCTGATCTCCCTGAAGATCCTGTGGCCTTAAAGAAAACACTATTTGCTTACTCTTTTTTTTTTTTAAATCCTCACCCAAGGATATACTTATGGATTTGAGAGGGAGAGAAACATCGATGTGAAAGACACGTCCGTCAGTTGTGTCCCTTGCACATCCCGACCAGGGATGGAACCCGCCGCCTTTTTGGTGCACGGGACGATACTCCAGCCAACTGAGCCACCCGGCCGAGGCTATTTGGTTGCTCCGTTAAGTAAAGTTTCTCTAAAGCCTGCCCTGGATTATCTCAAGTACAGTGCGAGCTTTCAGAGGGAGGGCTGGCATGAGCACTAGAGGCCAACGAAAGAAGTCACACGCAGGATGCATGCTTCCTCTTCCACGGGCTCTTCTCAACTGCAGAGCTCCTGATCCCATCAGCGGCCAGGGAGGGAGGTGCCCGAAGCCCAAGGGCAATGAGCATTCATTTTCGAGGGGGGAAGCCCTCCTGCCAGGATCTCATTTTCATCCACCCTCCCTCTTAGCTCCTCCACTTAATAGTGAGTCTCCTAAAAAGCTCTCACACCTGAGCTAATAAGCCTAGTGAGCTGGTGTCCAGACATGCCACCTCTGAGTGCCCTTTGTTGATGGCCTTCAGCCTGGATCCTAGCTTCCTCCCTACCCCTGCCTCCCTCGCCCATCAAAGAGCCACCACCTTACAGGAGACCTCCCTGCTCTCTCCTCAGCCGGATGGCACTTCCCTTTTTTCTGGATCCTTAGAACGCTACATAACCACCTCTCTTAAACATTTAGCACATGCTGCCTCACGGTCTGGTAACTTGCATATTTTGATTATACCTCTTTCTGTAACCTTTAAGATACCTGGCTCATCTTTATTTCACCTGTAGCCCACAGCTCCTAAATACCTGATGAGCTGAAGTGATCTGTCACTCTAGGTGTCCACCCTCCCTTCTCACCTGCCGAACATCTCCAGGTGGAATGCCCCACATTTTCAAACCTGAATTTACCACCTTCTTTCCAAGTTCAGTTTCTTATGACTCCTCCATTTCTGTCAGTGTCTCTATCTGCCCAACACACACTGAGTACACAGTATGTATCATGTGCCTGATATAATACAACCCAGCACCCCAGTCACCGAAATGCAAAATACCCCCCTCGCCACAACCTCATTTCTACTCATGCTGCATAAGCACAGCCTCCGTAGCCACAATTCCACGTTCACCCATAGTTTGGCTGCAGACGCCCTAATTTCCCTATATGAACCCTCCACTTGATATGTCCCGAACTTAGCTAACAGACAGAGAACCCAGAATCTCGACCTGCCAGTTCTTCAGGACTCATTCCAGAACTTCCCTGACCACCCAGCCCACAGCTCCCTGGGCGAGACCCACTCCACAAGTGATCTCGTCCATACCCATGGTTTTAACCCCTCCTTACACGTCGATGACTCCCTACATTATCTCCAGTCCCAAACTCCTTAACTCCGGGTGCAATTGCACGTTTCCGCCTGACTCAATATGGCCCAAACTGAACTTGTAACCTTTCCCTTTGAGCTTACTCTCTTCCTCCCATACTCCTCAGACTCAACTCTGGTTCCCCACCCCACCCCCAGTCACTGTGGATGGCATTCCCTTTGTGTCTCAGACCTGTCACCTTTGGCCCCATCCCACTGCCACAGCCTTGGATCCTCATTGTCTTTCACCTGGAATATAATAGTATCCTAACTGGTTCCAGCCTCACCCCTGCCCAATCCGTGTCATCAGGATGATTTCTAAAACCAATCTGGACTAGGTCACACTCATGCCCCATCTCTTACCACTCCCTTTATCTTTAGAATTTACCTCCCCCCTCACTAAACCACTGTACTAAGCCACTTCACAGCTCTACGCCTGGCTCAAGCTCTTCCTCTGTCTACAATGCCTTCTTCACCTCATCTGCCAGATAAACTGCTACCGATCCCTCCACGCCCCGTCCAAGCGTGTTCACCACTCCCACCAAGTGCGCTCAGCACCCTCCCCGCTCCCCAGCAAAGTTAACACCTCCGTCCCGAGTCTTCCTTTTGCTTACGTATTCCTTCTGCGCTACATCTGGGATACTATTTTAACTAACCTAAGGTAGGTTACGAGCTCCTATCATGGATGGTCTAATTCCTATTTGTATCCCTACTGGACAGCAAGCTGTAAGCTCAGGAGCGCAGGAACTGTGCCTCCCTTGATCACCTCTGTATCTGCAGGTGCCTAGCAAATTTGGGGGGTGGGGGCGGTATTCAACAATTATTTCCCCAAATGAATTACCAAACAGTAACCATTCCTTAGCTGACTGACTAAAAGGGATATGCATGAGCTGATCAACAAGAGTGTTTGCAGGTTGCTGGATCTGGTGACTTGAGGTACTGGTAAGTGATAAAGGAGAGAGAATCTGTCCATTTAAGTTTGCTGCACCAACAGACATCTCTAATCTCCCACAGATGCCAACAGAATGCACGGCAATACCACTCTAGAGTTAAGAAAAAGTCCACAAATGAAAGGTGACAATGAGACCCTAGAAACTCCTCGAGTTGTCTGAATTAAAAAGGTGGTTTTTAGGGCCTTTAAAAGAGAAGTAGACTCACACAGCAGTTTGTGTGGAACTGAATGCTCNTAAAAAGGTGGTTTTCAGGGCCTTTAAAAGAGAAGTAGACTCACACAGCAGTTTGTGTGGAACTGAATGCTCTGGTCTTAAGGAAAGGGGGTCATGGTGGAGAACTCCATGCGAGGCCAGGGCAGGTATAGTCAGTGGTGGAGGAAACAGGAATAAGGGGGGAGTGGGGAAGAGGGAGAACCGTGAAGGACCAACAGAAAAGGCAAAGGAGGGAGAGGAGATGGGTCCCAGGGTGCAAAGAGGGAGCCCAGAGCTGGGGGAGGCATCTTCAACAGGAGTGTCAAGTTGTCACCAGTGACATCTTCCAACGCAGAGCTCCCTAATGGACAAAGAACCTCTTCACTAGGGTCAGTGTGGAGAAAGCTGCAGGCTGGGCAGGGGAAGTGTTAGAGTGAGATGAAGGAAAAAAACTTCTTTCCTTCTGTGATAATGGCAAGAGAGACAATAAGGTGAGAAACCACCCCAGAGCTGGGCTAGGACGAAATATACCCTGATTGCTCCTCAACACACGCGTCCATTTTACTCAATTCCCACCTTGTGACTTTGGCTGGCAGTTGTTACATCCACCAGTAAATGCAGGAAGGAGGGTTCAGCATTTCAGTCCTCAGCAAACTGTCTCCACTCAGTTAGAATCCAAGGCTGCTGCTAACGAAACAGCCTGGGGCCTGCATGCTCAGACTGAGGGGGAGCTCATGCCCTGGTGCCTGCACATAGCTGAGCTGAGCATCTTAAACATCACAGATTAACAGCAGTTTTGGCAGATAGGAAGGGAAGTGCATTGTGCAGGCCTCTGATTCTGAACCAACTTTTCATTGTTAGGAGATGAAGGAGAGAGAACAGAAGAGGCGAATGGAAGAAGAGGGACAGACGATCCAGAGGATCAGAAGCTCCAGCTGGCACCACTCAGGCTTCCACGGTGCCTGGCTGGGAACCAGGAGGGTTTCACATCCTGGCTTCCCACCCCCACCCCCACCCCCGGCTCAATTTCTGCAGCTCATGCCATCAGAGATAACACCCTTGCTCTTCTAGCAACAGTCCAACATGACCTTGATACTCTGGCAGCTATTACCCTTGGCAGCTAAGTTCCAACTTCATCACTCTCTGGTACCCAGCTGGCTCTTGTATTCCCATTTTTAAGTTCCTCATATCCATGCTTGAGGGGCCTTTGGGGGATCATCATATCTGTTTACATTAGTAATCTGGCTTAAAAACTCAAACAAGGGTCATCTCAACTGCACTTCATACAAGTCCCAGCAGATACACCACAAGCATTTTTGATGGGAGGGGAGGTTATGATGTTGGGGGAGTGGCTGGTGATTTTCATGCACATCATTTTGCAGATAAAATTTCAAATCTGAATTTGGGCTTATACGAGGTATGTGGTTTAGTAAGGTCTGCAGAGGGCACTCTCACCACAGGACCCTGGTCATGCCAAAACACTCCTAATCCTACCCTTCTTCCTCCCATGTTTCCAGCTGAAAATAACTAGGAATTATTCTTAGAATAATATAGTAAAATATAAATAAATACATAGTTCTTAGAATAAACTAAATTCTTGGGAATTTCATTTTTAGGGTACGGAGTTATTACAGCACAGCTTTTACCTCTTCTAAGGCCAGCCATTAAGAGTTTGTAGGAGGTTCCTATAGGTAGCCAGATGTTTATGTGCAAACAGTGTCACGCTGCACATATCATAGAAGGGACAAGAGTTTCTGGGACACAAAGTGCTAAGGTAGGAGGGAAACCTGAGCTGCGGGAGGGACTGGGAGGAGGGCTCGAAGCCACATCCAGGTGGAAGTGGAACCCCCAGAGCTATCCTAGGAGCAAAAAAAAGTCTCTCCCGTCCTCAGGAAAATGGGCTCATCCCCCCAGGCTGAGGCTGGTGGCCTTCCACAGCGTGGCCTCAGGGAGCCAATGCTGTCTGTCCACTGGAGGGAGGCCCACAAGTGGATGCATTTCTGGGGCACACGCAGGGGGTAGAATCTTAGGATCCAAATCCTACATTGACTCCGAGCCTACGCTAAATCCTCAAATAGCTGAGGCTTGTCAAGATAAAACTGCCTGAAGTGTATGAGTGTCGAACCACAAGCTGTACAACTGAAACTAATAGAAATAATATTGAATGTAAACTAACTGGAAAAAAAAATTTTTTTTTTAAGCTAACACTGCATGGTAGTCCTGGCTGATCTCAGAAAAACCACCTGGGTGGACACCTCCAATGCCAGAGTCCTGCCGTTTCCCTGGTTTCTCCCTCTGTCAGCCACCCTTGACCACCCACACTGGTGCCAGGTGCAGAGGTGATGTCAAGTCCTGAGATGGTGCCATCTCCCGAAGGCAGCCCTTAACAACTTCACCTGTGTAGAGCACTGTGTACTGCTTTCTTCACACCCCACCCCTGTCCAAACGCCCCCCTCAGGCCAGGCCCCCACTTCCAGGCTCCTGTCCTGGGTCCAGACCTTGCCCTTTGCCTCCCTCCTTCAGGAAGTCCTGGCTCCATTTCTGGGCCTCCTGCCACTAACTCACACTTCACTGCGTGAACCCTTCCTCACAGGCTGGCTGAGGAGCATTCACTCCCATCTGCCCGACACAGGTCGTCTGGCTTTCCTACACTTTCCCTCCCTGGTTTTAGGTCATTTCTAGCAGCATCTGTCTCCCATCCTGTGCTTTGCATCCATTCGTTTGCATCCACCCTCATGTCAAGGTCTCTCCTCAGCCCAGCCACACCATCCTTAGTCCCACTGAGTGAGCCACCCTAAATTCACTGTGTCAGGTTCAAAACCACAGGGCTCGCTTGAGCCGATTTCCTCCGACTTGGCTACAGGGCTGGCAGCTGTCCCAGTCTGTTCAGAGACAGTGAGACAGGCTCTCAGAGAAAGCAGATACCGAAATCAGAGTTGGCCTTGGCCTGGCTCAAGACCTCTCTAAACCTTACAGTTGTAAACAAAGTTGACCAGGGGAGGGGATCTCTAGATTGTCCACCCTGGCCCCACTTCTCTGAGCTACTTGAGGAGCCACTGTTTCTGAGGCATTTACACAGCTGTCCTTAGTCACCGGACAGTTTTGCTTGGTTGGAAAATGCCCAGTTGAAGAGAACCCATGCTCCTTCTGCCCAGTAACTGAGCCCTTAGCTCTCCCCTCCACGGGGGCATCCCTGTTACCACCAGCTCACAAGCTTGAGCTGACACCGAATCCCTGGGCCACCAATGTCAGGGGAGAAGCCATGGAGAGGTCAAGAGCTGTTTTCAGCTCCTTTGCACACTGTTAGGATCAAGGACAACTGGGCGTTTCCCAGTGAATATCAATGCCCATAACACGGATTCTGGAGAGACTGGGTTCAAATTCGCTTCTACCACCTATCAGCTGTGCAATCTTGGACAAATTACTTTAGCACTGTGCTCATGCTGCTCAGCTGGAAAAATGGGGCAATAACAGATGGACTTCGTGGAGCTGAAAATTAACCATGGCAATGTGTGAAGTGTTTAGAACAGCGCCTGGCACACACAGCTTCATGACAGCAATACCTGCCAGTTGTAGCCAGCTCTTACCACAGCCGCTATCCCATCCAGTCCTCACAATCATCCATCTCACAGACGTGGAAACAAGCTGAGCGAGCCAGTGCCCAGTCACATTCTACCGAGCGGTCTAGCCAGGAACTCATTCCAGGTCTGCGAGCCCAAAGCCAACGAGCTTAACTCTGCCACCAGAATGCATCCGGTTTTCCCGAGGGAGCAGCAACAGGGTCACCAGGCACGGCTCTGCCTGTGCCCTGCCACTGCCAGCCGGACAACAGCGAGCATCTGAATGTCACAGTTAAAGGAAAAAGCTCCGTCCCCTTGGAGTTTCAAACACTGAAGACGTTCCTGCTCCACACGTTTGCTGCCCTGCCCTCTCCCTCCTGACGTGGACCTGGGTTTTGTCACATAGCACTTCTTTTCCTGGGGACTCTCTTCCGCAGTGTTTGGTATGGCCTTTACTATCCTCACCATTACTTCCTATTGGGGACTACGGGGCCCCACAGCTCCACGCTGACAATCGGGAGGGCCGCATCTGTTAGTGTCGATTTCCTTATAAACAGAAAACAAACGCTACTTATCAAGCTCCCCACCTGCGAGGACACTGCCATAAAAATTTCATATACCCCAAATGCCTTCTGAAGCATCGCCTGGCCAGCTCCACCGTCCCTAGGACATCCCTGGGTCTGCTCTGACAGCCAGAGGGCACATCCCATCTCATGACCACTTCAGGCCACCGAGAGCAAGAAACCAGCCACACACGTCCCATTGCGGCCAATCTCCCACCTTTCCTCCTGTGGACACTTTAGGTCTGGGGTGGGAAGTAACCTCCCTTCACATTCCCACTGCGACTTTGTTACCTGGGCCCTTGGATTCTTGAAGGCAAAAGGAAGGTGCTGGGTGCGGCTCTTACCTGTGCGGTGAAGAAGGCTGGGGTGAGGGATCCTGAGGGCAGGGCCGGGCTGTTGAGGGCGATGGAGCCGAGATCGGTGCCGGAGAGCACCAGCGGAGGCGCAGAGATCTCCAGGCCCTTGGGTTTTTTGGCCTTGGGGGGGAGCGATGGAGACCTGGTCTTGGAGCCTGATGACAGGTTCAAGGGCTCTAGGGAATCCGAGTCATGGCAGGCGGCCTCCAGGAAGAGGCTTCTGTGTTCAGAAGGGAGGGGCGAGTTGGGGGACAGGGATGGGGACCGAGAGGAGGAGGGCGAGGCAGATGAAATGCTGGCGGCGTTTGGCAACATTAAGGAGGAAATCTTGGCGGAGACGGACGAGGCCAGGAAGGCCTCCGACGTGGAGGGCAGGGACACCACGGGCCTGCTCATGTGCTTGTCGGTCTTGTTGGTCACAAACCTGATGACAGTCCTAACCTCCTCCACAGGAGGGCTGTCCTCCGGCGGCTCCTCCAGCTTCTCCGTCTTGATGGCTTTGAAGGGCTCGGGCGGGTTCTGCAGGGAGTTGATGGTGAAGGAGGAGTACAGGCCCGAGTGGATGTATTCGTTGCGGCTCGTGCTTTTGAGGGCGGACAAGCCGTGTCTGTGCGCCTCGCGGCCTTCGGGGGGCGCTTTGCAGTCCCTGTCCTGCAGCAAAAGGCTCTCCCGGCTGATCTCCACGGCGTGAGGGTCCATTTTCAGGATCTCCGGGAAAGAGACAAACTTGTACACAAACTTCTGCCCAATCACCTTCTTGATGATGTTCTGTGAATGACACAAAAGGAGACACCAAAAAGATCAGCGCACCAGAGAAACGAGGAAGAGCTTCACCGACGGGGAACAGCCTGGCTCCGGGGTCCCGCGGAGAGGCCCAGAGCCGGCCGGAGGCAGGATCAGACCTGCGCTCCGGCTCTGCCGGTTCCTCATGGTGTGATCTTCAGCAAACGGATTGTCATTTTTAGTTTCCTCACCTGTGAAGAAGATTATAATTGTATCTAAACGTAATAACAGCTGCCATTAAGCGCTTACTCTGCAGCTGGCATTGTTCATGTATTTTCTCATTAGAATCTGTACAGCACTCCTAAGGGGAAGGTATTATTAAACTCCCATTTTAAAATTTAGGAAAGTAAGCTTAGAGCTTAAATAACCGGCACGGCCACGTGGTCGGTACGTGGTAGAGAGAGCATTTCCTTAACCATAATGCAGTATTGTCTTACCTACCTCTGGGACTCGTGCGAATTCAATGCAATAATAGTGGGAAAGCATTCCGCAAGCTGGAAGGCATTATAGAAACGTAACTTATTATCAGCAAGCCCCACCGTGTTTTCTTAAATCATGGAGACAATTTTTCCCTTTTTAGTTTTCTGCCAAGAAAGCCGCTGGGGGAGAGCAAATTGTCTCCTTTGATATTTGCGGCGCTCATCCAGTGTCCTAAGTTGCCAGTATCTACTTTCGGCTCTTCGGTTTATGGCTCCAGTCCAAAGCCATGAGGATTTAAATGAAAACCAATAATCAGTGCAAAAGCCTTCATGCCCCTTTGGGAGAACGGACTTCGTATTAAAGGCAGTACTCAATCTCTCTCAAATGCCAGCGGGAATCCGAGGGGCTCGAGGGAGGCGGAGACAGGCTCCCTCCAGCGCAAGGAGCTAGCGGCACCATCCCGCGGGAGAGGACTCAGGTTTCCTTCCCAGTGGCTCCTCCATGAAGGTTAAAAAAGCCATTTGGGGGAGAGGAGCTCCCATCGAGTGCCTGCTCCGTACGGGTGTTGCACACAAGCTGTCTCATTTGATCTCACACTAACCCTCTTGCAGGTGGAAGGTCCCATCCTTATGACATAAACTGAGAGATGGGGAGTAATCTGCCCAAGAACCCACCAGAGAAACCGAAAACCACTGACAGACCTTCAGAGAAATTTGGGAAACTTAGAAGTTCCACCTGGGCCTACCTGGGAGGATCTCCGTGGGCCACATGCCAGGCCCGGGAGAAACCGGCTGCCAGCAGGAGAGGGTTCAAATGAGGGCGTCACTAAGTGCCACCTGATCCAGAGTCAGTTCCTAGTAAGAAAAAAGCATCATGCTCCTCTGCTAAAATTCTAAGGTATTTTTGTTCTTTGCTCATAATATTTTTTCTCTCTGGGGAAAACTTTGCTTTACCCTCAGCCAGGGGAGCACTCATCCAAACGGAGTGAGTTATTAGAGCCTAAATACACAGAAGAAGAAAGAAACTATGGTCTGAATTGTTTCTTCTGGCAGGTCTTATGAACTGGTTTTTGCTTTTTAATACGAGCCTTTAATTTTATTATGGTATTCAGAACACAGTGTCTGAGCAAGCATTACATATTCATAAGCAAACCGAGAAGTAATTTGGGGCTGAGATAAAAACGATAAAAATGCCTCTTCCTCCTCAAAAGATGGTCGGGAATGGAAAGGCAATCTCAATCTCAGGTAGAGAGCCTGGAATGCGTGCTTCAAAAAGAACATGAAGAACAGCCCCCAAGACTGTCAGCTGACAAACAGGTAAACAAAACGTGGTATAATCACGGAACAGAGCATTGCCCAGCCAGCAAAGGAGGGGCGCTCTGACGCCTGCTACAGCATGGGCGCTCCCTGAATGCAGTGTGCCAGGCGAGAAGCCAGACACAGAAGGCCACACGGTGTATGGGTGCCTCTGTTTCTACAACGTATCCAGAGCAGACAAACCTATAAACAGAAAGTGCACTTGTCATGTCTCATGTTTTGGGGGAGGGACAGGAACTGAGGGGGGGACGCCCAAAAGGGAGTAGTAGTTGTGCTGATGGATGCACGACTCTGTAAATATACTCAAAACCACTGCACTGTACACCTTAAATAGGTGAAGAGGGTGGTATTTGAATTATACTTCAACAAAGCTGTTTTAAAAAAAAGAACGAGGAACCCCCCCCCCNTTGAGAGAGAGAGATTGGAAGGAAGAGAGAGAGAAAGAGAGAGAAACACTGATTTGTTGTTCCACTCATTGATGCATCACTAGTTGATTCTTGTATGTGCCCTGCCTGGGGATCAAACTGGAAACCGTGGTGTATCGGGACGATGCTCTAACCAACTGAGCTACCCGGCCAGGGCTATTCAGGGTCTTTTGTGGTTCCATATAAATTTTAGGATTGTTGTACCCCCCCCCCCAGCTTTATTGAGATATAAACTGACAAAGAACAGTGTGTGTGTTTAAGCCATGCTATGTGATGACCTCCTGCATTTCACTGCAAATGACAGCCACAGCGGGGTTAGTTAACACTCCATCACCTCGCACAGTTACCACTTCCTTCCTGGGGAACACTTGAGATGTGCTTACTGTCTTATTAGCAAGTTCCAGTATATTACACAGGACTGTTAACTGAGAGTCACCACGCTGTGCGTTAGATGCCCAGAACCTATTCACCCCATCACTGAAGTCTGTACCCTCTGACCAACAACTCGCCAGTTCCCCAAGCCCCCAGCCCCTGGAGACCATCCATCTAATCTACTCTTTTTCCATGAGTTCGGTTTCTTAGATTCCGTAAGTAATATTATAAAGTGTTTGTCTTTCTCTGACTTAGTTCACTGAGCATAATGCCCTCAAGGTCCACCCAGAACGGGAGGAATCTTAAGAATGTTACACGTCTACATGGAAGACAGAACCGTCGAGGCTGGGCGGCGTCCGCCTTAACACGCTAACCCTCCTGAGTGCAAAAAAGGAGGCACCTCGAAGGGCACTGAACTCGGCCGCAGCAAGAAGGGCCCGTCAGTAGCTGCCGCCTCTATCAAGGGAGCTTTTCAGGGACTGGTTACACGGTGACAGGGATGGAGTGGGGGCAATTTACAGAGCTGACCAAAACGAGGAAGAAACAGCCTTTGGAAAGAACCAGGATGGGTTTTGCTTCTCCAGAGACCGAGAGGAAACATAGATTAGATCTGGCTCCCTGGACAGTGTGAAAGCTCTGCAAGGACAGAGGCTGGGAAGGGAACCAAGTAAGAAGAGGGAAGGAGAGGTCGGAGCGAAGCAGCCCAGCTCAGCACAGGGATCTGTTCCTGTGAGGGGAGCAGGCAAGGGAAGTGCCCACCAGGGTGCCCACAGCTGGAGACCTAGGTAGACAGCAGACTCTGGAGGTGAGAGCCTGGGGCTGAAGGGCCAGCCCCTCCCTACCTCACTGCCAGGGCAGATGGGTAGCAGGGGTATTTGAAGATCTCTCTGTGGTCTCTGAAGGGAGGTTTCAATAGTTTGCCCCACGAGGGGTTTGCTGGAAAACTCACAGTGTAAGGAACAATAATAGGTGGTACTTGTTGAGCACATACATCTGTCAGGCTGTGTCCTAAGAACGTGACCACCCTTGACTCGTTTAATCCTCTGAGAGGTTGGAACTGTTCTTGTCCCCACTTTAGAGATGGGTAAACTGAGGCTTGGAGGGTATAAATCACTGATGGTCACATGCTAGCTAACACTTGGGCAGCCTGGCCCCAGAGCGCTTGGCCATGCTGGAAAGTGATATGAAACGGGCTGAGACAGCCCAGGACACGGGAGCACATGGGGACGGGCTCTTATTATTGAGGATGTTTAGGAAAAGTCTGTGTGTTTACCCCTTCCTCCCAGACTCACAAGTATTTGTTGCTTACAGTTGCCCGGTAACCTCACAAATGCCATTTGTCTGGTGGAGCCGAGTGACCCTCCAGCCCCGTTTCAGAGGGACAGTTGCACACATCTGCCTCTCTTCACGCACACGAGACCAGCCTCTCTGCTCCTATTTCCCAGTAAGTGTGTATTCACAACCAGTGTGGACCCCTGGCCCGCACTCCGTGTAAAGGTTACGGGCAGCAAGGATGGGCCACCTTCAGTGAGGGCAAGACCAACAGCCACCGACACGCCCCCAAGTGGCGGTTCCAGGCGAAAGCGGAAGCGTGGGTCCCAAAGCTGCTCTTGCCATCCCGTTGTCCCCGTTGGTGTTTTGAGAATGCAGGAGCTTAAAGGGGAGGCAGCCCATGCGGGCAGGACGGTGGCCAACAGGTGCGAAGGAATCCTCCTGACTCACCAGCCACCTCCGGCAGCGCGAGCGAGGGTCCCCTGGGTGACTTCACCCGAGTGGGACGGAGGACACTGAGAGAAGGGGTCACGGTTCCTTTCCCCTCGGTGCTGTCCGCTGCCCTGCCAGTCGCAGCCCACTGATGAAACGGATGTGCCCGTAGGTGTGTTTAAACACGTACACACACTGACCCCTACCTTCTGCCACACACAAGCAGCAGGCGCCTGTTCAGCAGTCCCGTGTAGTGGATAGATCAGAAATGTCTATTAAAGTATTGTGCTTTTTAACAAATTATATACAGTGCTAGGTAATGATTTGAATTTACCTCTTAATTTTGAAATCATTACGGATAATGTTAACTACAAGTTTGTTGAATGAATGGCTCTCCCTGGGGAGAGAACTGACCCGGGCGGGAAGCCAGTGGCTTCACTCCACGAGGGACACAATTTTCTGTGGCTGTTCCCCAGGTTGGTTAAAACCCATGTGACTAAGTCCCACTTGTATACCTGCCTGTTCTTTTTTGCTGGCATTTTTAAATTGAAAACCCCCAGACAGACAGCGAGGCCATATGGGAACCCCTATAACCTCGTGCCTCCTGTAAGAGTTTAATGAACTGTAATTTCACTATCCCTGTACTGGGCAATACCCACTGCGTGCATCAGCTCTGGCCTGACACCCAATATTGATCCAAGGTCGCGCACGGGGCTCTCCTGTGCTCAGACTTATCCCAGCTCTCATT